GGACCGCGAGATCGTGACCTGGCTGAAGTCGGACGCTTAACCGACTGCGCCACCCAGGCGCCCCTGCATTTCATTGAATTTCTTACTTACTTACCTAGTTTGTTTTACCTGACCTGCCTAGTCCATAGTCATCTTTACAAACTGCTTACAAAGGGAATACAGTTTTGAACCAGACTTCAAATGTGTTTTATTGCACTAGAAGGTGAGAGTTGCCCTCACATTTATAACTCTGAAATTCCTTTAGGAAGGTCTGTATATGGTGCTATTGATTTACACAATTAGGTTTTTCCTATTTGTGGTATGAGAGCTTTCTCTCTAGTATATTTTCTCTCTGATGACTCAGTAATGTTTCATTATCCCCCCTCTCAAACTAGGAAAATACAAATATTAAGTGTTCTATCAATGTTTAATACAGTTTATTCTGATTTTTTCCCCTGTAGCGGATCTAAAGAGAACAATTGCTGTCCTCTTAGATGACATTTTACAACGCTTGGTAAAGCTGGAGAACAAAGTGGACTATATTGTTGTGAACGGCTCGGCAACCAACACTACCAATGGCACAAGTGGAAACCTGGTGCCGGTAACCACAAATAAAAGGATCAATGCATCGGGCAGCATTAGATAGCAGTTGAAGATCACCTTGTGCTGCTACATCCACCGTGGATCATATCCTATGGCAGAAAGCTTTTAAGTTGCTGGCTAGGATAGAATAATACTGTACAATAAAAGCCCTGCGCATTTCTGAGGAATATGCTGGATTCACAGAGCTCTAATTCTGTATATAAATTTTAAAAGTTATTAGTTTGCTTTCAGGCAAGTCTCTTCAATGCTGTACTACTATATCCTTAAAGGGAATTTGGTAACATGGTTGATGTAGTAAGCAGGTAGGTGATCTTTGTATAAATCTTTTGTGTTTGGGATAGAGGTGAAACAAAAACACTGAAAGACATGGGTTCATTTCTATAAAATATTTATTTAAATATGTAACATGTTTTTTAGAGAATATTGTTATTGAATCATTTTGTCATTTGTTCTCAATAGGTTTAACTGTTAGACTAATACTATTAGAAAATGTGCTTACTTCCAGTACTATATTTTGTTACTCAGATTATGAGCAGAGAAAGGAAGTATAATGTTGAAAATAATGTTTTGAAATCATGACCCAAAGAATGTCTTCATTTGCACTAGCCTTCAGAATAACTGGAGGTTAATTATTGTATATTTTGAAAAATTACATTTGTAAGGTTATAATCTTGAGATGGTTAGTAGCCACTGTCCATAACCTATTCTAAACATTGAGAAAAATAATGTAAAAATAGGAATCTCTAATCTCATAAATAACATTTTCTTATATATACCTTGAAGAATAAAAGATATTTTTATGATGAGATTAAAATTAAGTAAAGTATTAATTCATGATTTTTCACATACATGAATATTAATTTAAAAGTTTAACCTTTTGAGTGTCTGTGCTATTGAAAGCACATTATTTCCGTATTTGGGTAAGTTTTGCTTTTGTTATGTTGGCAGTGGAAGGGGAGACTGAGATATTTGTGAGACTGGGATGCTTAAGGTCTTTAACCAGGTGTGTGTACTAAAGGTATTTTGTGCTGCATTAAATTGCTTGGAAAATGTTAACATTATGTAAGAGTATCTGGCTTCATGAAATTGTGGATTTGTGTAAAAGATATATTAGGTATTCATTTTATATAATGACCACTTAAAAACAAGAGCATTTAATTTAAGCTATGAAGATTGACTCTCTTTTCAGGAAAACAGCTATTGTATATAGCACAAGAGATCCTAATCTTGGATAATTCTAGTATAGAGGAACGTACAACTTTATTTAAATTCCCCTTGTAGCAAATTTAATTGCCATATGGTGCCCTGTATTTCATAGTATTTATTCTCTATAATAACTGCTTAAGTGCAGCTAGCTTTTAGATTTAGGCTATATTGAATTTAGTTTTGGATATTGTATTGTTTATTATTATAATATGTTACCACACATAGTAGCAATAATTATAATGCTTTATTAAAATAAGTATGAGAAAATATTGTTTCATGAAAGGTAGCTTTCTAAACTCTTTTCCCTATACTCTGTGAAGAAATTAATTACATACCATTGCCAGTTGAAGTTTGGAATAATTGTTCAGTCTTATTAGATGTAGACATTTTTGTTTTTGTTTTCAGGGATGAAATAAAATATATTATTTGTACTTACAAGGTGTGATAAGTTTTTTTCTTTAATGGTGGTTGTGCATTTAAAAAGTGGTAAGTGATTGAAAGGAGTCTTACATAACTGGGGGTTTTGTTTTATCAAAAGAAAACAGTGGAAAATTGCTTTGTTCATGGTAGGAGAGTTTGAGTTCAGGATTTGATGGGAGTAAGTCTGATGATTATGATCAGAGGTGGTTCCTAGGTTTGTACCCTCAAGTTGAAGTTTACTATTGAGTTTTTAAAGGTCATACTGTAGTATTTATATCTTCAATTAATCTTAATTAATCAGGACGTTAACACAAAGGGTGTCACGAAACATATTTAAACTTTCATATTTATTTCAGAGTAATTTGGGGTTATTTCAGAATATCTTTAAGCAGTATACTGGCAAAAAAGTAATTTAAACATTATTTTACATAGTTGATGATAACTTGGGTCTCATTTGTCTTCAAGAAATACTTAGGACCTTGACTGTGGAGTTAGGTAGACTATAGAGGCTCAGGTCTGCCTTTTTAGTGACACCATGTTCTTTATTTTAAATGTATAGAATCTGCCTCATCTTATTTAATTCTGTCTCAGAAGACTAAAGTGTTAACAGCGTACATAAGAACCTCTGACTTGTACATTTGGTTTAATTGCAAACACTGTTCTGTTTTTAACCACTTTCTGCTGAATAGCTATCGATGTAGTTAAATTGTTATCCTTTTTTTTTTTTAAGAGAAATGTTTACCTGAAAAGAGGACATGATATAATGAAAGAGACAATGAATGAATGAGTGAGTTAATTGAAACTAATTTTTAAATAATTGAAAGCCCAGAATGATTCTTAAGTTTTGGTTGGGGGCATGGTAGAGTCATCTTTTGAGAGAGCTCAAGAGCTAGAGAGGAGAGAAAGAAAATATGAAAATAAGAATAAATATAGAAAAACAAAATGGGAGGACAAATCTGACATTTTTCTACCTACAGACAACTGCTATTGACATTTTAGCATATAAATGTGAATCTGATCTCCCCTGCCCACACTCTGTATTGTTTCTACTTAAAATAAAATCCAGTGTTCTCGCTGTGGCCTCACAAGCCCTAATTTGTTCCTATCTGCCTCCTCACTTCATCTTTAACTACCCTTTTCCTTCTTAATTCCTCTTCAACCATATTGACTTTCTCTTCCTGGGACTTTCTCTTCCATGTTTTGCCTCAGCGACTCCAATGTGATATTCCTCTATTCCCAGATATCTTCATGCTTCCCCTCCCATCCCCTTCCACAATATTCTCAGGTGTTGGCTCAAATGTGTCTCTGACCACCTACCTAATTAACATGCCTCTAGCACTCTTTTTTCCCTTTTTACTTTTTGTCATAATTGTGATATACCTAACATTAAATTGTATATTAATGTATTGTGTTTTTTTCTGTTGCTTCTTAGAATCTAGGCTCTGTGAAGGCAAGGACTTCATTCTGTTCACTGATATAATCTGGGCACATGCGACTGTGTCTGACACATAATAGGTGCTTGATAAATATTTGTTAAAACTAGTTACTAAGCCATTCTATGCCTTTTGCTTTGTGTATCGATACCTTTATTTATATTTTTAAAGATTATACCATACATTGTATTCTTTTTGTATAATGTATGAACTTCTTTCCAAGTCAGTAAGTATATAACTTTCATGGCTATTCTACTTTGTGGCTATATCACCATTGATACATCTTTCAGTCAATTATTAGACATTTTGTTTGCAGATAAAAGATTTAGACGTAGGTATGGGACAAGTTTAAAGCTTGTCCTCTTTGCATTACTCCATGCTGTCATTATTTTGGATGGTATTGGGTAACCCAGTAAAGTGTGATTAGCAATTTGGGGGAGACAAAGTGGTGAAATATCTCCATTTGCATATAATTACAATGACAAAAGTCTAAAATGGGTGACCATCCTCAGACCTTGTTTTATGTTATAAACAAGAGGTAGAAGCATTTTGCAGGGTAGGAGAAAGACTGGGAATAAAATGTAGAATGGCTAATCCATTAATTGAGTTATAGAGTGGGTTAGTGGTCAGAGTTGTGCTTAATCAGATCAAGTCTGTCATTTTGCACCTTTTGGCTTAAAATGGATCAATAATAGTAGTCTGTGTTTAAGTAAGGGAGTTAGGCTCTAAAGATTTTTTTTATTATTATTATTTATGTATGTATGTATATATGTATGTATGTATGTATGTATGTATGTAATTTATTGTCAAATTGGTTTCCATACAACACCCAGTGCTCATCTCAACAGGTGCCCTCCTCAATGCCCATCACCCACTTTCCCCCTCCGATTTTTTTTTAATGTCTTTTTCGATTTCACCGATGTCAGTATTTTTCAAACATATTTCCAGAATGAATTTAGGACCTCCTTTGAATCCTTAGGTCAAGGATAACTTCACATTGCTTCTAATTGTTGATTAGCAGCATCATTTATTTGAATAAATCATTTTTCATTTAACTTTCTCAGGTGATTAATTCATCCACCCACCCACCCTTTCTTTAATGTTTACCAATTTTTCACTCAAAGAAACAAACTGGTTTGGAGGAGTCTTTTTAGGTGAGAGGGTGTCATGGTAGATATGGTATCAAGGCCCAAGGGAACAAAACATTTTGAGCCGCTGGTGTTTGGGAATTTCCGCATAGCATTAGGTTATCTTCAGTTTTGAGATAAATATGGGTTTTTTTATTTGCTTATTTGTTTCTCGTCTTCATGAGTTTGAAAAGGAGAGAAAAAAAATTCCCTTTTATTCTTTTTCTTTGAGCCTGAATTGGGAGTTTCATTTCAAAAGCCTCGAGTGGATGATTGAAGCAGGAAGACACAAAAAAAGGACCTCTGCTAGGTAAGGGCCACTGGCCTACCTCCTGGCAGAATCTCTACACATCCTATATTAAAACTATTCAAAACTGGAATGTGCTCCTGGGGGAAAGATTTAGAGCAGGAAGAATTTGGAGAATTTGTTTTTAATCATGCCTCTCATTCAGTGGGATCTCTGTGGTAATAACAGTTATTGAGCATCTATAAAGGGCTGTGCCCTGTGCTGTGCTCTTCATGTACAGTATCTTGTTTAATCTCCAAAACAACTTTATGAGGTTCTATTACCCCCATTCTCTAAATAAGGGACTCTGGTGCAGAAAAACTGGATGGGGGAGCTCTGGTCACAGGTCTTACAGACCATACAGTAGAGACTCAAACCCAGAAAGGTCTATCTCCAGAGTTTGTACTCTTAGCACCATGTCTTACCGCCTATTCTACTAATCTTGGCTTAAGTATAGTCCATGTTGTTCCTAGGACATAGGAATTTCTCTCCTTTGATCCAAAAGAAAGATCTTCTTCTCTCTTCACTCTTTACTCTGCTCTTAAAGGCCTGGGTCAGCAGCAAGCACGGAGTCTGCAGGGCATCACACAATATGCATTTGGTGCCCAGGCATTGATGGTAGCCCACCACCCAGGATCCTGATGCCCTGGATGGCCAGGGTATGGGGATCACAGGAAATGAACCCATTCCTGCAGAATTGGTTGGGAGCACCAAGCTATTGTATTTGGGAGTTTAAAAATGAGCCTGCTATCGTACTGTCTCTTACATCCAATCTTAGCATGAAGGGAAGGGAGGGGTTGGCTTTATGCAGATTTCTTCCAGGTTGAACAGTATCTTCTCAGTCTGCCCTCAGGGCCATTTTTAAATTTAATTTTAATTTTTTTTTTTATTATGAAATGTATTGTCAAATTGGTTTCCATACAACACCCAGTGCTCATCCTAACAGGTGTCAGGGCCATTTTTTGTACTCACCGTGGGATTCGGGGCACTATCAATTCACCTACAGCCGTTCTCTGTCACTGTAAAATCTAGTACTAACATTTTATTTGCAATGTTTAGGTTAGGGATTTTTCTGGGGCCAAAATATTTCTTATAATTTTCCACTTCCTAGAGGCTAGACAGAGTGGGATTCAACACCACTCTCTTGGTCTATTTTTCTCCTTTTAATCTCTTTAGGTTTTTCAGATGAACCATTTGATGACTTTTAAAGGAGACTGAAATTGTCTCTTAATGACTTGATTTAAGAGTTTCACATAGTATCTCTTGAGTTTTCTGAAATACTAACAGAGCCTCGGGGTGCCTGGGTGACTCAGTAAAGCATTGGACTTTGGCTTAGGTCATGATCTCATGGTTCCTGAGCACGAGCCCTGCATTGGGTAAGTTCGAGCCCTGCTTGGGATGAGCACCACTTCTTTCTCTCCCTCTGTCTCTCCCTCTCTGCTCTTTGTTCACTTGTGTCCTCTGTCTTAAAAAAAAAAAAAAATTATGTATGTATATGTGTATATATACATATATATATACATACACACACACACACATATACATGTATATATATATGTAGATATGTATATATATTCAGAGGCTTAAAAACTTCCAACCATTTCTCTTGGGGTGCCTGCATGGCTCCGTCGGTTAAGCCTCCCACTCTTGATTTTGCCTCAGGTCATGATCTCACGGTTCTTGAGTTTGAGTCCTGTCCTGTGTGGGGTTCTGCACTGACAGTGTGGAGCCTGCTTGGGACTCTCTCTCTACCCCTTCCCTGCATCCATGCTCTCTTTCTCTCTCTGTCTCTCTCAAAATAAATAAATAAACATTAAAAAAAAAACCCAAAAACCTAGCCATTTCTCCAAAGCTTGCCCACTGCACATGGTCCACACACTGGCCATGAGACTGGAATTGACATCTCTATAGAGAAGTGAGGTAAAAAGTGACATGGAAATCCTTATTTTAAGCATTGTCGATTATTACTTGCCCCATATAATAAAAGGGCAGCTCTTTGGTCTTCCCCCCTGAACTTGATGTATTTAAAAATGTAAAGAATATAAAGATTGCTTATTGCAAACTCTAAAAGTGTCTTTTAGCTGCAAATACCCTTCTCCTTTTAGCTTCCTGGCAAAGACACACTTGTAGGAGGAAGGCAGGCAGAAGCTGGGGTGGGGGGTGGTTTTGATATATTAATGTAGTTTGTTCTCTTTTTCTCCTCAGATAGTCTGCTGTCATTTTCTGCCTTGGAAAATAAGTGGCACTTGGAATTAAACTCTCCCGGGGAAAGTGGTATGACTATTGAGAATTTTTAAGTTAAAATCACTTTCTATCTCTCTGCATGGCTCAATTCTTCCTTTTATCTTCTTCCCTATCATGTATTATTGGGTTTTAATATAGTACCGAATAACCATGGTCAACAGCAGAAGAGAGGTAACTCTTTTTCTGATTAGAACAAGTGGCTTTTCTGACACAGAGCCTCATCTCAGGGGCTGAGAGACTGACCACACAAGTGGCTGCTCTGCCCTGTGTTTCTCGAATGATAAAGTTTTCCTGAGGCTAAAAAGGAAGCCAAGGCCACAACTCTAAAAGGAGGAAATTTTTCTTATTGTTGATTAGGGCTCAGTTAGCTTTACCAGGAAAATGATGACCTCGGGTCCTTCTTTTACCCTCAGGAAGATTTAAGCTATATCTTCCATACGTTTCTTTTTCAGGGAGTCTACACTTTACATATACTGGCTTCAGAGTAGGAAGAATTGGTTTCTTCACAACTCAGGCCAGATGGAAAGTATTTTCCTTTGCTCCTGCAAAACCAAAATAACTAGTATTTCTTGCTTGTGAATTTGGGCTTGCAAGTAAGGCGTGAGTGCTGGCCACATGGAAACAGTGTTCCAACTCTAGTTACAGCTGGAGCCCTTTGGCCATCTGAGAATGTTCTGTTGGAATTCCAAACAGATGAAGCCAAGCCCAGAACTGGTCACAACTAGGAAACAATCCGATTATTGTTTCCTGTTTGTCAGGTTTTGCCTGCCCTGTTTTACATCATATAGTTCAGATTTGCTCTTTTCCATTTCCTTGCCTGGAATGCCTGGTCCTTTTCTGATATGCTCTCTAGTTTTACATACTTAGGACTCCCAAGTTTCTGATTCCCAACCTTAAAGGACTGATCCCTTTTCTCTGGAATCTCCTATCACTTGTGGTCTCTATTTCATGCATTCTGTCATTCCTTCACGCTCTTGCCTCTGTCTGGAATGCTCTTCTCTCAGCACTTTGCATGAGTGGCTTCTTCTCATTCTTCAGGTCTCTGCTGAAGCACCACTTCTACAGCAGCCTTCCCTCGCTACCTGTTCCAAAGCCAGAGGCTTTTCTAGTATGTTCAGAGACGGTCAGGTCCCTGGTGCCTGCAGAAGTGGCTGCTCTGCCCTCTTTCTAGAATGATCAAGTTTTCTTCTTCATGAGTTTGAAAAGGAGGAAAATCTCCCCATTTACTCTTTTCTTCAAATCTGAACTCGGAGAGTCAGTCCAAAAGTATTGAGTGGACAATATCTGGCACATAGTAGATACTGAATATATTGTGATAGGTGGATATAATTTAAGAAGGACGTTATCAAACCTTTTATCCTAGTTCGTTCTTTCTTTCTTTCTTTCTCTCTTTCTTTCTTTCTTTCTTTCTTTCTTTCTTTCTTTCTTTCTAATTTGAGAGAGAGAGAGAGTACATGAGAGCAGGGGAGAGAGGCAGAGCGGGGGGGGGGGGGGG